AGGGCTTTAGCGAGGCCATGGGCTTGCCTGACTGTAATCACCTCCCACTAGATGACATCATGGCCAGGGTCAGAAGAGAGGTCACTTGATAATAAGACTGGAAGCCAGAGTGGGATGCAGGATTTGACTTCCATCCTCCGTTATAGCAGCTTTCTTGGAAGAAATAGCTGGGCTTCCAGGAGAACTGCCATTCATCTCAAGGGCAGAGTCCTCTGTGTCCTCCCATTGGCCCCTATGTAAACATCACACTGAGGACCAAGTCTCCAGCATAGTCAGAACATCTAAGCCACAGCACTAGTTTGCCCTTACCTAGTGAGCTATACTCTGAAATTGCTGCTTCTTCTGTTTTTGGAACTTTCTATGAATACCAGGTTGGCCTTGAACTCATAGAGATCTATCTGCCACTGCCTCCTGAGTGCTGGGTTTAAAGGCTTTGCCACCATACTTGGCCTAGACTGAAGTCATTGTACCTGTGAGTTACAACTCTTCCCTACTAAGCTGGTAGCCATCAGCCTATTGTTTATTTCTGAGTTTGACTGTCCTAGACAGCTGATCTCAGAAGAGAAACATAAGCTACTTCCTCTTGTGTGACTTGCTTTTTTCACTTAGTGTAAGGTTTTACATTGCTGTTTTTTAATTTTCTTTTTAGTGTGAACAGTTTTAGTGTGAATAAAGATTTCTGTGCAGTTTAATTTGTTTCATTCTTCTTATATGTATGAATTTCTTGCCTGAAGTTGTCTGTGCACCACATGCTCTGCTGGTGTTCGAGGAAGCTGGAAGAGAGCACCAGATCCCCTGGAACTGGAGTTAAGGAAGGTTGTAAGCTGCCATATGGGTGCTAGGAATGGAAGGAACCCAGTCCCCCGTAAGAGCTGCAAGTGCTCTTTAACTGCTGAGCACTCTAACACCTATGTAGTCTTTTTAAGTAGCTCTATGACATTGCTTTTTAATGAATGGACCATAATTTTGCCATACCACTAAGTCTTTGTCTTAGAATATACTGCTGAAAGTAACATTCTCAAGACAAATTTTAAATAGCTTATGCAGCCCCCAAGTTCAGTTCCAAGACTCCAATATGAGCATGAATATTCATCATGATTCTTTGTTTTGTTTGTTTTTTGGTTGGTTTTTCAAGATGGTTTCTCTGTGTAGCCCTGGCTGTCCTGGAGTATACTCTGTAGACCAGACTGGCCTCGAACTCACAGAGATCACCTGCATCTGCCTTCTGAGTGCTGGGATTAAAGGCGGACATCACCATCATGCAGCCATGATTCTTACAAAACATAAAACCAAATCACCTTCTCATCAACTCATTTTTCACTGAGAATATATGAGTATCTGTTTCTTCATCATCCTTTCATTGAGGGTATTAGAATAGATAACATAGGCAAAGGTGGCTCTTCATTTCATTCAGCTTTAAACAAGACCCACACATTTGTGCTGTTTGTGTTTAGTAGGAGACTGAGCACTAGCACCATCCTGCTTGTTTGTACACTGAGGGTTAGGGTGTCTTCATTTCTAAGCTTGATTTAGAAAGTAAGAACGCTTATATGTATTTTGCCCCCTATTTTATTCTATTTGTGTATTTATGTTTTGTTTTTGGAAACAGGGTTTCTTTATATATCCTTGGCTATTCTACCTAGAGCTAGCTATGTAGACCATACTGACCTTGAACTCACAGATCCACCTGCTTCTGCCTCCCAAGTGCTGGGATTAAAGGTGTGCACCACCACTGCCTGGCTTTGCCCCCTAATTTTATTGGATTTCTCTCTATACTTATACAATCTATCAGTCTTTTTTTTTTTATTGTTTTGTTTGTTTGAGACAGGGTTTCTCTGTGTAATGCCCTAGCTGACCTGGAACTCACTCTGTAGACCAGACTAGCATCACAGAGAACCTCCTGCTTCTGCCTCCCCAGTGCTTTTTTTGTTCGTAAATCTTTAATGATAAGCCACCAGTTCCTCGTCCCAATATGTAATCACGTAGTAGTTTTTTTTTTTTTAAAAACGTAGATCTTTCCTTGATTTTCTGAGTAGTGAACTGAATCCCTCCCTGATGTACCCTGAAGTGCCACTACATATATCATATATTCATAGTCTGAATTTTTTAGTATCTGGAATGAGCCAGTCTGTTTTCATATCTTCTTTTTTAAATCTCAGCAGCCCTGTATTAGTGTTTCAAGCTGAGAGAAGGCATTTTTTTTATAATATTTCAAATATTTGAGGCTTCATCTCTTTTGGAGTTAAAGGCTTGTACCAAATATCCAACTCTACTTATAGCCATTCTTGCTCATTCTTTTAGGAATTTTTAGCGATATTAAGATTAAATTTTTATCAGTTTTGCTGATTGGAAAATGAATATCCTTGCAGTAGCTCCAGGAACACACTGTTTCAGTGGTTGCTCAAATCCCTTCAATGGAAAATCAAATAAGATTATGATCACAGGCCAGAATAATTGCTACTTATATAATAAAAGATACATGATGTGCCCGGCATACATGACCACTTAACATAGAAAATGGCTATTATTACTGCCATTGTCGTCATCATCCCTCAACCACTCCTCTGTCAAGTGGTCAAGGACCAGACAGCAAGTAGCCTGGCTCATTCTCTGTCCTTTGGCCAGAAGCAGGAAGGGGAGCCTTGGGGACACCATTGATTAATAATCTTCCCCTAGTGCTAGAGTTTCTGGGAGATTTTCTGTTAATATTCATCCTCTCTCTCTCTCTCTCTCTCTCTCTCTCTGATTTTCTGTTAATATTCTCTTCTCTCTCTTATTGTTATTTTGTGTATATGTGTGGGCCTGTGAGAGTATATCTGTATGTATCATTTGTGTGTAAAAGCCTTTGGAGGGTAGAAGAGAGCATTGGATTTCCTAGAATTGGAGTTACACACAGTTCTGAGCCCACATGTGGGTGCCAGGAACTGAACCCAGGTCTTTGGCAAGAGCAGCAGGTGCTCTCAGCTGCTGAGCTATTTCTCTAGCACCCACATTTTTTTTTTTCTTCGAGACAGGGTTCCTCTGTAGCTTTGGAGATTGTCCTGAAACTTGCTCCATAGACCAGGCTGGCCTCAGATTCACAGAACTCACCTGTCTCTGCCTCCCGAGTGCTGGGATTAAAGGCATGCTCCACCACTGCCTGGCCCCACATTCTTTTGTGGTCCGTGTTCCCCAAAGCCTTCCTCAGAACCTGGTTTGTGTTTTAGAGGTTGTTGGTCAGCACTGCTGCCTCCTCCCAACCAGCTCTCCCACTTGTGGCCAAATACAAATATTGCCATTGGAGTGCAGTCAGTCCTGTTGAGAAGTACTATTTTAAGTAGATGTGGGTACCATAAGGATGTAAATGAGTAGCTACTTCAGAAAGATTTGCTGGGTGTCTTGGATTCTGTCTGTTCAAGAATGCAATTTGGGATTGGGAGATGGCTCAGTGGTTAAGAGCGCAGGTTCCTCTCCCAGCACTCACATAGTTGCCAACAAACAGGGGTTTGATGGCCTCTTTGGGTCTCCAGGCACCAGGCACGCACATAGTGCAGAGACATACATGAAGGTAGAATACCCATACATACAAGGTTTAAAACAAGCTGAGTGTTTTGTTTTCCTTTGGACTCTCAAGACTGCTGAGTGCTCAACTTTCACATCTTTTCTTGTTCTCGTGTGCCCTTTTCCCCAACCCAGTCCAAATGAGAAATTGCTGAAAGGAAGCTCCCAATTTGCATTCTATACACCCTTTAGTTTGCTTACTTTTTTTTTTTACTTTTGGAGGGCAGATCTGGCATCACTCCCCCGCCCCACTCCTGCCTGCTTGAATCATTCTTTTCTTTATAAAAAGCTTGGCATACCTGGACATGTTTTACTGGACATGTGCCAGCCCTTGTATCCTTGTGCTTTCTCATTTCTGAAGACAAGTTTTCCAAATGTTCGTTAATCCAGGGTGGATTAGTTGTGTTGTCCCGGTTATGCTATGTGGTTTGAAACTATTTTAATTTTTTTCTCTTTTAAAAACTTGTCTGCAAGCCGGGCGATGGTGGCGCACGCCTCTAATTCCAGCACTCGGGAGGCAGAGGCAGGTGGATCTCTGTGAGTTCGAGACCAGCCTGGTCTACAGAGCTAGTTCCAGGACAGGAACCAAAGCTACAGAGAAACCCTGTCTCGAAAAACAAAAAAAAAAAAAAAAAACAAAACAAAACAAAAAAAATGTCTGCATATGATTGTTGGAGGAGCTTCCTGATTTTGAATTTTTCTTAGTTTTATTTTAGTTTGGAATGTTGGATGTTTCTTTATTGAATGTGATCTCTTATACTTTTCAAACTTTCATATCCACCTTGGATTTGGTAGTGGTGATCTTTCCCTTCCCATCTCTTGTGTTACCTCCTATTTTTGGAGAAAGATCTGGGATTCCTTTTAGGCTTATGCTATAAGTGGCTGAGCCTGCATGCTTTGATTTCCTTATTTTTGGTGTCGTAATCAATTAAGAACTCATCCTGGTGCCGCCTTTCATGGCTTCTGCATAGCCACTTAATTCTAGGGATCTGTCTCTTATTGGATGTTGAATGCCTTCTGCCTTCTCTGGGACATATATAGGGAATTTAGAATTACTTAAGTCGTGTTGCCATTCATGACAAATTGACTATATTTGCATTATCTTAAATTTTAATTAAAATTCACTTCTGTGTCAGTACAAGGCACTGTTTAACTGCCAGGTGACTAGTGGTTTCTGCTAGACAGGGCAGGTACAGAACATTTTCAGCACTGGAGATGTTCTGTCAGGAAGCTTGGTTAGTGCACGTCAGAGGTCTACCTTAGCTGTTGTCTTCGTCCTATGTTCTATGTTTTTCACACCATATTTGTGCTCCTTTTTTCAACAGGTGGTTGACTGTAGGTGAAGCGGGTGGGTTCTTGACAAGCAGTGGTGGTATCTTGTCAGCTGTTTGGACTGTTTTTGTGTAGCAAGACTGATGCTGGGTCACTGTCTTCTGACTTTCTTGCGCTGTCTCTTGCAGGTGATAAGAAATGACAGTAATCTCCGTCTGAGAATCCCGTGCTCCAGGTGCTGAAGAGCTGCCTCTTCTTGAGCTCCTGGTGTGAACAAGCCTTCACTGCAGTTTTATCGGTTGCTCAACTTTCTTAATGATGGGCATTGGCAAGAACACCACCTCCAAATCAGCGGAGGCTGGGGGTTCCACGGAAGGCAAATATGAAGAGGATGCAAAGCACCCAAATTTCTTCACTCTCCCGGTAAGGGTATCTCTTGCCTTCTAGTTTCTCTTGGGAGTAGATGTAGGGTAGACTTTAACATCTGTGTTTTCAGTGAACATTGTGGCATTGAAAATCAATTGCCTCTTATGTCTTTGAGACAACCCAGCATTGGCTGTATTCTCAGCCAGCCTCAGGGTACCTGCTTGGTTGAGTTAACCCAGGAAGGAAGTGTATACTCCTATTGATGTTTTAAAACTTGTTGACTGAGATTTCTGTCTCCCCGCTCCTACAGTCATTCAGTCCCAAAGAAACACACATAAAAAGGGATGAATGGCACTAAGGTAACTAGTGCCTGTCTGGCGCCTACCAAGCCCTTAAGCCCCACATGCATGAATGTGATTAAGAGAATAATGAGTGGGTTGGCTATGAAAGCCAGCTTAGCTAGTCTCTGGTCCATTCCCTAGCTTTCATCGTGAGCTGTTCTCCATAGCTCCCAGACTCTGTAGGCAGAACAGCCATCACCAGACACAGCCCCTGAAACTTGGGTCAGAACCACAAACAACTGTTTTTCTTTTTCTTCTTTTAAACCTCTCTTTTATATGTATGGGTGCTTTGCCTGCTTGTCTGTGTACCACATGCATGCAGTGCCTGCAGAGGCCAGAAGAGGGCATTGGAGCCCCTGGACAGCAGTTAGAGTGGGCTTTATCACCATATGGGTGCTGGGAATTGTACTTCTGTTTGTGTTTCTCATCTCAGTGATGTGGAACCAGTGCGCCCAGATTCCCTATCTACCCCTGCAAGTCATCCTTGCTGTGGCTGCACCCCACTGTCCACATCTAGCTCAATTTCGGCTCTGCTCAGAGCCATCTCTTCAGCACCCTACAAGATATGTTAATAGTGCAGATCAAAACCAAGTCTTCTAAGTTTTAAAGAGCATTCTGAGACTGTTCGGTTTCTTTGATAAAATTGTGTTCAGAAGGTCACAAAGTGAAAATGTTACACAATTATCAATGTTTTTTAATCTTTGTTCCTTAAACACACACACACACACACACACACACACACACACACCACACCACACCACACCACACACGTGTACACACACAGACACATACACTCACACACCCTCAGTACTTGTCATGAAGAACTGGTTTTAACATATGACTTTTTTCTCTTTTGGGTGTTAAGTTGTCTAACCAAGAGCCATGTGTATGCTAAGACATCTTCTACCCTAGCATCTGGCCCAGAGCTGTATATATGCTAAGACATCCTCTGCCCGAGAATCTGGTCCAGAGCCATGCATATGCTAAGACATCATCTTCCCCAGCATGTGGCCCAGAGCCATGTGTATGCTAAGACATCTTCTGTCCCAGCATCTGGTCTGGAGTTGTACTCATCACAAAGCCCCCATCTACCTCAGAGCATCAGTCTGTACCCTTGTGCTTTATTCAGTGGGACGGTTATGTCCAGACCGTTGTTAATCCTCCATCTGCCCCTGCTACCTCAGCTCCTGCTGCTGCCTTTTGGCGTTAGCTTGCCTGCCCACCCTCTGCTGTAGCTGGAGTGACTGAGAATTCCTTAGCCTGGCACCTGGCACCCGCTCTGGACGGATCTCCTGTAGAGTATCAGGGCTGAGTCTTGTTTGTCTGGGACACAGCTAGGATCTGTTAAATAAGTATCTGAGCTTTCATTTAGTTCAAGGAGCATCTGCCATGTGTACATGACTAGAAAGCAGTTGTGATTGTGAACTCTTGCTAAAATCTGTTGGTTTTGGTATCATGTCAGATCTTAAAATTTATTGAGGTTGACTGTAGTTGCACTACTTTCCTTGGCTTAGGAGACCAAGGCTAGAGAGGGTCAGGAGGCTAGCATGGGCTACATTTTGAGACCCTTTCTCAAAATTTTTTCTTGAGGTACAGTTTGTATAACAAAGTTTGAAATAAAGTTGTCAGAGACATATGATATATTCACAGTGTTGTGTAACTACCATGTCCAGCCAGTTCCAACACCCTTGTTCCCTAAGAGGTACCCAAGGAGCGGGGCGGCCTTGCCCATGGCTTTTTCTACTGCAGACTCCGGTTTCTCTGATGGAGTCACTTGGTGTTACATTAGGAAGGTTCATGTTGCCTGTGTGTTCCCCCAGGCTGCGTGGGGGCTGAGTGGCGCAGTGTTGCTGTGCTGCAGTGGGAATGCTGTAGCCGCCTCAAGTGCAGATTTGAATTTGACTGGGAACATGGATATTGCTGTAGCCAGTGCAGGCAAACCAATGCCACAAACCCAGGTGTTCAGAGAAACTGTGGTGTGATGTGGAATTCTGTCTGTTGTTTGTTTTTGTTTTCTGGGTAGGGTCTTGCACTGGTCTGGTTTGACTCCAGATCCACAGTCCTTCTGCCTCAGCCTTCTGAGGGATTGTAGGTATGCACCACTGTACCTGGATAGAAATACTTTTAAAGCAGACCTTTGCTTAAAGTACTAAAAATATTCTGCTCTGTTGCAGTGTGTTAATTAAGATCTTTGGCAGACTTTTAACATGGACTTTAAAACTTGCTTTCAAATGAGAAATTTAATTGTTTCCTGGCTCAGTTTCCTTAGACACAAAAGCAAGTGTATTGGAAATCCCTCTGGAATTCCTCAGTCCCAGGAACTTTAGGCCCACTGTTGCTTAACTCTAGTCTTTTTCACGACTCCTTCTTGAACAAAGAACTTCTGTTCATATAGGAAACTACCAAAGTGCAGTGAAGGAAAAGGAGTGTAAAATGGCCTTCTGATTAACGACAACCCCTGTTAATGTTTGGGAGTATGTTGTTATTGTTGTCTGTTTTAAATTTTGGCTTTTGTGCTGATACTATTATAGTTTTTTTTTAGATATTTTTCTTGTGTTAGTATGTCAGCTTCAGGGTTTTTCCTTTCCTTCCTCCTTCTCCCCCTGTCTCATCCAACGCTTTCATCCTGCTGTGTAGCCCAGACAAGTATAGTCAATTTCCTGACCACCTTTCAGCTCTCCCAGAACCTCCCCACACTCCCTCACCACCCCACCCCACCCCACCCCATCCTCTTCTTCACATTGCAGTCCAGTTAATGCCGCCGTATGTGCTTTGGTGCAAAGCAGTTGTTCTCAACCTTCCTAATGCTGTGACCCTTTAATACGGTCCTTATATTATGGTGATCCCCAATCATAAAATTATTTCGTTGTTACTTCATAATAGTAATTTTGCTGCTGTTATGACTTGTAATGTAAATACCTGATATGTAGGATTCTTGACATGCCACCCTGTGGAAGAGTCATTTGACATGCCAAAGGAATCACGACCCGACCCACAGGTTGAGAACCATTGGTATAGAGCCATCCACCAGAGCGTAGGCAATACCCCTAAAGAAAATTGACTCTCCTCCTCTGAGTAGCCATCAACTGGCGATTTTCCTCACCTAGGAGTAGGGCCTTGTGAGCCCCTACTTTATGCTTGGCCTTATACAGGCCTCTCTTGCTTTCTTCCTCTCCCTTGTTGGTCTGGGGTTTTCTGTATGAATTGTTGGTTTAGTCCCTTTTCTCTCTTTTGCATCACATAGTTTATCTTAGACCATCATCACTGTTTTCTATTGTGTATTTATTTCACAGTGCTGGAATTTAAACTGTATATGTGTCTTTTGCTAATCTTGTGGGTTTTTGTTGTTGTTGTTGTTGTTGTAGTTTTTGAGATAGGCTCTCATTCTGAATTTTCCATGTAGATTTTGGGAATTGAACCTTGGTCCTCTGCAAGAACAGCCAGTGCTTTTAAACACCGAGCTACCCCTCTAATTCCTATATGTGGAATTTGTGTTACAGTGATATATTTCTAACCAATGTAGTTTGTACTGACTGAGTTATTATCATTGCCTGGGAGGCCTGGAGCTCAGAGGGAGTCCACAGAGTTGACCGTACTGTGACTTTTTTTATCTGAGAAGGTAAGGGAAAAAGACACACACTCTCTTGATGGTTTCCTTCAGACTTTATCTTTATTCTTCTTTTGTCTTCTCTCTATTCTTTGTTTTCCTAGTGATTTCCTTCTCTCATTCTTGATGTTTTCCTTCTAACTCTTTCTAACTCTCTTCATTTTCCCCTTACAGCCTATATATCCCAACAAAATCTTTAGGGCAATATAAAAATTACAATGTGGTTACATTCTATTTTTCAAGTGAATGATTAAAATGAATGCAAGTGAAAAACAGCATGTTTTCCATATCCCTTACACGATTAAACATTTTACATATTACAGGTGAAAAATTATCCCCAGGAACCCATGTATATTCATACCCAAGCAGCTTGTTATAGATTAACAGAATGTAAGCGAGCAAGGTATTCTTCTATTGGCAGGCTGCATTTTTCAGTTACAAAGAAAGGACCAATCACTTATCTTGAAAGGTAATCTTATAAGGACTCTTAAAGGAATCACAAACTTAAACTTTTATGCATGAAAAACAATCAGCTCTATTTTAAATGCATAACCACTTATCAATAGTTTTTTATATCAGGAGATTGAGGGCAGAAATGCGTATAAGGAATTAATCACCACCTTTGGTCATCAGCTAATGATAACTGGGCCACTTTGTTCTTGTCCCTGGACCATAATGAGTTCCTCACTCAACTCTGTGCCTCTCTAAACTTAGATCATCTTCTTGGACGTTTCCCCTCAAAGCTATTTGACAGAACATCCTAGTCTAAGTTATTTTCAGAGCGTTTTTCAGCTATAATGCACTCCGAGCCCTATGAACACATCTAACATTAGGTTAAAAGAATGGAATGTAGCTGGGCTACTGGGATTCAGTTGTTTTCTTGATTATTAATCTAAGCCACCGTCTCTGTACGGCCCCTCAATAGAAAATCATGTGTTCTAGCTGTGTGACACTTGTTTGTTTTATTTTTTTAATAGTCAAAACTGTACTTAATTAACATTATTACTATTTTTTATCAATTATACAGTGCATCTTAGGAATAAGTCATCTTCATAATAATCCACAGGTAAAAATGCCCAATAGAAGAGGGTCTTTCCATTACAGTCAGTGGGGACCTCTCCATACCCATTCACACCATGCGTGATGCCCGAGAAAGATGGCAGTGGGGATTTGCCTCCTGGTAGGCTAACACCTGAACTTCAATTGCCCTCCGCTGCACCTCTGACGTGGCCACTGGCATTTATGAACACACACACACACACACACACACACACACACACACACACACACACACGACTCTCACTGTGTTGCTATGTTGCTCTGGTTGGCCTGATACTTGCATTGTAAACCCGTCTGGCCTTAAATTCTGGCCTTAAACTCCTGCCTCTGCTGCTGGACTTCTAATCCTGTGTTTTTAAAAAATCTTTGGAGCCAGATAGAGTGGCATTGTTCCTGATGCCAGCACATGGGAGGCTGAAGACAGGAGTATCATTAGAGTTCTAGGGCAGTTTGGGCTATGTAGCAAAATCTTGTCCTAAAAAAATCAAACAAAATGTAGATTCATTGTCACCACTATAGCTAAGTCACACGAGGTTTTCCTTGATGTTACAGAGTCTATGTTAAGAATGACTTTCCTGGGACTCGAAAGATACCATAGCAGTTAAGAGCACTTGATTTTTAGAGGACTCATAACTGCCCATAACTCGAGCCTCAGGAAACCTGATGCCCGCTTCTGGCCTCCTCAGGTACCCACAAACTTACATATACATAAATAAAAGCCTTAAGAAAGTCATTTCCCTTATAGTATCTGAGTATAACTAGTTTATGAGTGGTTATTATTATTTTTCTTTAAACGACCAACCTCTCCACCAATACAAATAATCCCAATCAGACCAGATCAGACCGAATTAGAAGATGCCCATGTTCAATGGCTACCAGTACTCCCAGGTGGCACCCCCTCACCCTCAGGAAAACATGGAGAGGGGGACACTGGAAACTGGGAGACCACATGTTCATTCTCTGGGGGATCGTTTAAATAGCCTGTGGGTGTGGTTTGACCTTCCCTTGGAGGGGTTACCTTTTAGTGGGCTTTTTTGACCCTCCCTGGGGGGGGGTCACCATTTGATGGGCTTTCTCTGAGGTGGAGTTTGGACTGAGGCAACTCCCAGGGGAGGGAGCTTTGAAAGGGAATTTTCTGCCCAACATTCCAAAAATGGTTGCCAGGGGGCTGGGGTGAAGCCCCCTAACTAAATAATTATCATTCTTTCTGTCTTTGTATCTCTCTCTCTCTCTCTCTCTCTCTCTCTCTCTCTCTCTCTCTCAGTTTCTTGGGATTAAAGCCTCTTTTTCAGTATTGTATCTTTAGCAATTCCTAGGAATGGAACCACTTGGTTAAGGAATGAAAATACTTTCTAACCAGATAAATCATACTGTTTCTCACCAAAGGAGGCATAGCGTGGGGCTAGACCTCCATTGAATTCATCTCAGGATGGGTAGGTCCTCCTACCTTCCAGTGACCAAGCAATTACACACGTCAGGCTGCAACACTTCCTCCCCACCCCCCTTTATCCATACACCTTTATATTTGCAAGGTTCATTGCAAACCACTCTTGTGACCTCAGGGCCTGTGTTCTCAAGTGTTGCAGCTCCCCCACTCTTGTGACCTCAGGGCCAGCTCTCCCACCTGCCTCAGGTGTTGATGGATGGAGGGCGGGGGTCTCTGTCCTGCCCATGTCCCCACACAACAGGTGAATAATGGGGACAACTCTCCCATGCTCACAGCTTCGGTTCTGGTTCACCCACACCTCTGCCAACAGGATTGGCTCTGTCGTGCTGCCCAGGTGAGGTGCAAGGCCTGCTCTTCTGAGCTAACTTTTCCTCTTTCTAGAGCAGACTTGCAGTTGCTTTGGCTCCTGAAGAAGCCATCTTAACCAAAGTAACTTAGACACCACCACTTAGCAGCAACCTGGTCACCCACATTGCAACACAGGCTTATCCAGTCACCTCCCTTGTCCTGGAGGGTGTTGTTGATCCTATGGCTAGAGGTTTCTTTGGAATGTTTACCTGCTGGGCTCTGGCTCTCCCAGCTCCACCTATGGGGCATAGCACATTTCCCCATTTAATAAAGCCCATATACACATTGGAGTTTTGTTTAAGAAAAAACAGACTTTGCTGTTGTGATATGTAAAATGCATTTTAGGGCTCTTAAAAGAATTATGAGAGGCCTTCTGGAAAAAGCACATTTGCCTACAGTGAAGCGGCAAGTGCCGAAAGAGCCTTTCAGTGGTGCCTCTCTCCTCAGGTGGTGATCAACGGTGGTGCCACGTCCAGTGGAGAGCAGGACAATGAAGACACTGAGCTCATGGCAATCTACACCACGGAGAATGGCATCGCAGAGAAGGTACCCGTGCTCAGCCCTTCCTACTGCCTGACCCATGTTTCTGCAGGGCCAAGGATGTCTCTGGTTTGGGACAGTGTAGCTCCGTGTGAGGGGGTATTCTGCATGTCTGTTTTGTAATGGAAGAGTCATAATTGCTAGGTTTTAATTATCTTAGTAGCAGTTAAGGGTAAAAAGCTGTAAGAGTCGTTATCTAGGCATTTTTCAAGCCTCCGCCAGAATGTCTGAGAACAGTGGTTAGGAACTTGAGGACTGAAAGTCAAGTCTGATTACAGAGGTGACTCAGACTCTAAGGAAATGACCACTATTCTCTGGTGTCAGCTTTCATTTCTAAATAGCAATAAAAGGTAAGTGTGCCTAAGATGAATATCTGAAATCCAAAACGTTCAGCTACCAATGTGACATTCAAAAGCAAGTATGTATGTATGTATGTGCATGTATGTATGTATATGTGTGTGTATAGATGTGTGAACAGAAGCTTTTCATCCTTCCTGATCCCGCATTCTGAGACTTAATATTACTATAAATGACTGACCAATAGTTCAGGCTTATTACTAGCTAGCTCTTATATTTAAATTAACTCATTTTTATTAATTTTATTATAAAATTTATAATACAGAGTTTATAAATTAACTCAATTTTACTTCATCTGTGTATCACCACATGGCTTACCATGCTTACTCTGGCATTCTGCTCCTTGGGTGGCTGCTGGTGTCTCTCTCAACGCTGCCCCTTTTCACCTGTATATCTGCTTGGATTTCCCTCCTAGCTATATTTTGCCCTGCCTTAGGCCAAAGCAACTTTATTCACCATCCAATAAAAGCAGCACATATTCACAGCATACAGAAGGACATCCCACATCATAGATGTATACTTGTATTTGCATATACACACACACACATGCACACATGTATATGATTAGACAGACAGACAGACAGACATATATAAAGTTATTGCCATTTTGCTTGTTCATTATTTGTTTTTGTTTTTCTTTTTAAAAATTGAGTGACGATATGTAGATGGAACTTTCTGTCCTGCCTGGTTTTGCAGCCATTCTAAAAACAAAATATCACCACAACCATGTTTGTATAATTTTGTATTTACATCACTGTAACAAAATGCTTGACACAGATTTCTCAATGAAGTAAAGAGAGTTATGTCCTGGCTTAAAATGTCTGGATGTGGAAGATGGGCAACCCTAGGGCATTGCCAACGATGGCTCTTCAGGGCAGGTGGTACATAAGAGCAAGGGCTCACACATCCTGAACCAGAAAGTAGAAGCGGGGTGGGGACAAGCAGAGTCCCACAGTGTACTTCAGGAACACAGTTCTCAGCCAGACGGCGATGGTGCTCGCCTTTAAGAGCCAGTTCCAGGACAGGCACCAAGGCTACACAGAGAAACCCTATTTTAAATTCTCATGATCCAGAATCTCTGGGGTGTGTGTGTGTGTGTGTGTGTGTGTGTGTGTGAGAGAGAGAGCGAGCGCGCGTGCGCGAGGGGTGGGAGGAGGGCGCGCGCACTAACCTGGCCTTTATCCTCTGCCCCATTTTCCAGAGTGATAAGATTATGCCCATAAAGTCCATCTCCTAAAGGTCCATAATATCTTTGGATGTTGCCACCCCACCCCCACCCCCTGGGACAGGATTTCTCTGTGTACCTTTGGAACCAGTCCTGGAACTTGCTCTGTAGACCAGACTGGCCTCAAACTCACAGAGATCCGCCTGCCTCTGCCTCCCGAGTGCTGGGATTAAAGACGTGCGCCACCACCAGCCGGCAAGAATGTTGCCACTCTTAAGGAAGCCTTTAGCACATTTAACTTCAGGGGGCATTAGGCAAAGTATAACATAGATTCCCTTAGGTTTTATTACTTTTGTAAGCTATGTGACAGTATTGAGTTTGCCTTGTGTGTTGAGCCCAGTATGTTCTCAGTCTGTCAGTATAGACAAGTGTTTCAGGAATTGCCATTGGTTTTAATCATTTCTTAATGATTCAGTTCTCATCCTCATAGTTTATAGAGGGAAGCAACAGATAAAATTCCTGGTTGGAAAAAGGCAGATAGCAGAGTTAGGAAGACACCATGCACAGGCTTCTGTTCACCTTTCCCCCAGTGCAGGTAGGGAGGCAGTACTGTAACTCTCCCATAGCAATGGATAGCACTCGCGAAATGAGGCCAACTAGGGAAGCTCATCTGAACTTTGGCATGGAAGGTTTTATCGGGAATCAGCCTCTTAGGTATGGCTGGCCACCCGTGTGGCTGATTTAAATTCTAGCTTCTTAGAAATGGCTTTCAAAAGACAATACCACACACTCAGCAGTGCAAGCCTGCCAACATCTGCTGCTGGTTCTGAGTCAAATGTCAGCTTCATTAGACTGTACCTATAACTGTAGAAGATGAAGCAAGACTCTAGCATGTTTGTGGAAAGGGATTCATCCCCTTAAGAACTTGTCTCCTCCTTCCAAGGAAAACTGGATGACTTGCATGGAGCCAGCAGCACACTGTGGGCTGGATCCGTCAGACATGGGCTTCCGAAGTCACGATACCTTCTCAATTTTTTTTCCTGATGGAACATTTTTATTTTGTTTCCTATTACTTTGCTAGGTTGCAAAATACTTTTTAAATACTGTGACAAAATACCACAAGCAAGGTTTATTTAGGGCTTATGGCTCCATGAGCATTGCTGCAGGGGACTTAGCAGCAAGCAGGCAGCCGAGAGCTCAAATCTGGAAGCACAAACAGGAAGCAGAGAAACCTACACCCAGTGACATTCTTCTTCCAGCAAAGCCACACCTTCTAATCCTCCCCAAGTAGCCATTAACTAGGGACCAAGTGCTCAAGTGAGACTGGGGATCTCATTCCAACCACCACACATACGCACATCAGAGTCTAAGAAATAAAATTAATTATTTGCAGAGACTTAGAAACCAGAGCAGTTTTAAGACTGTGTAGAAAGACAGGGTTTCTTTGAGGCTTCTGTGAAGCTGAAGTAGGCTGAGTTAGTTGTGGTGACCTTGGCCTTCAAAAGCATGCAATACGTAACATTTTAAACATCTTATTAAACTCTCACATAAAGTATTAGAAATATTTTATTATATATACAGTTATTTATTTATTTTAGATAAAGCTAAAACCAAAATCTGAGTCCTTAAGCTTGGGCAGAAGGTCTGCTCAGGTTTGGTGCTCTTGGGGATGAGCTGATGCCAAGGGAGACAGTCCTCAATCTGAGAACTAGTGCTCTGAACAAGAGTCCTTGAACCCTGCATCAATGCCTAAAAGATAGAATGGCTGCATCAGTGGAATGTGGTTTGGGGCAGTCAAGGACCATGCTAAGGTGAAAGAGCTAAGGTGTTCTGGGCAGTGGCTAAGCCCCTCTTTTTCTCATCTCGACTCCAGAGTTCTCTTGCAGAGACGCTGGACAGTACTGGGAGTCTGGATCCCCAGAGGTCGGATATGATCTACACAATAGAAGATGTTCCTCCCTGGTACCTGTGCATATTTCTGGGTTTGCAGGTAAGATGCTTTTTCCAGGGCTAGTGCTGTTACCAGCTAGATTTTCAAGATACTTTTCTTTTTCTCCCTCCCTCCCTCCCTCCCTCCCTCCCTCCCTCCCTCCCTCCTTTGTGTAGCCCTGACTCTTCTGGAACTCACTCTGTAGAATATCCTGGCCTTGGCCTGCCTCTGTCTCCTGAGTGCTGGGGTTAAAGGCATGTGCCCCCCATAGTCTTTTTTATTTCCCTCTTTTAATTCTATGTATTGTGTTTGGGTATGCATACAACTACAGGTGCCTGTGGAGGTCATAGGTGTTGGATTCCCACTGCCCGATGAGGGTTCTGGGAACTGAAATCCCTTTTTCTACAAGAACAATAGATGCTTTTAACTGCCGAGTCATTCCTCTAGTCCCCAAGTTTTATTTTTAATTAAGATTTATTTTTAAATTATTTTCCAAGAATGGTAAATAAGAATTTTCTACATTAATTTCATAAACAGCAGGAAGAAGAAAAGAACTGTGAAGGAAATATTCAGGGAACAAAAAAAAAAAGTGATACAATAGGAAGGAAAAGGTAGTAGCTGCAGGGAAGGCAACATAGAGGAAGGAAGAAAGCAGAAAAGAGAGAAAGCAGTAATTAATGTTAACTCCCATTCCTGACCTTAGCAGTCTGTGGTCATGGCAAGTACCTGTCAGCCAGGACATGAGAAGAAGGTCTTACTATTTATTAAAGGAAGGAAAATTTGCTGCCTCCCAGCCTTAGTCTGCTGTATCTTCCTCCAGCAGGAGGGGAAGGCTGACAGAAAGATCCACTGTAGATTTGATGCTTGTCCTCATTACCCTTGTCCTGCTTTCAGATTTAAAGTAACTTTTTGATAAAGGAGGTAGGCAGGGGGCTCTCTCCTCGCTAGACTCACTGCCTGGCTTCTCATCACTCTGTTGGGTTTGGATCCTGTTTTGAGGTCTGTGTTTCTACATTTCCTTGTTCAAATTTCTGTGATCAATTCTCTGAGGTTTCTCAGGTGCTGGGAAGCTCACTCTTGGTGCCCAGACCCTATGTTTACTTGGAACTGGATGTGCCTGGCTCTAACTGGTGCCCAACTGGGTTTCCTCACCACCCTGCAGCTGGAGGGCTGAGTGGGCTTGGTGCATAACTTAACTCAGGTCAGGTGCCCTGGACCTAATGTAAGGCACACCTTTCAGATTTTGTATTATAGATGTTTCTAGAATAGTCAGATGGAAGGAACAACTTTTTTGCCTCCTGCTCTTGACAATGCACAGAGCATTGTGCATTGCTCTGAGAAGCTCTCAACAGAACACACACACCTGTACATCCGAGGTGCAGTCAATATTTATGTTTCTCTGACTTGGGCAGAAATGGGAAGCTGTGGGAAAGAAAAAGAGAAGTTTACAGAATAGAAATGAAGAGCTAGAAAATTAGGGGAAGAAAGGGAAGTGAATTGTGAATGCTGTGGCTATCTTCAAGAGCCACAGGAGTAAGGATGGAGTCCTAAAAGGAAGAGTAGTGTGGGGCTCTTTCTGAAGGATTCCTGTAGCCACCGTGCCCCAAACCCTGCCTAACTGGAACAGGTAAATATTTGCCTAGTGGTGTCACCACAGAACAAGGCAGAGAATGCCTTCTGCTGTGAACTCACTGTCTGTTATAATCCCCAGACCTGAGAGGGCTGAAAGCAAATGAAAGAACTACATAGACTAATATCTTAGGAATGCAAAAGTAAAATATGAGCACATTAGCTGGGCTAAGTGCATTCTTGTTATCTCTGAATATCAGAAGGCTGAAGCTGGAAGATTATGAGTTTGTGATCAGCTTGTGGCATATAGTGGATTTCAGTATACCTTGGATTCCAAAGTGAGATCCTGTCTCTATAAAACACAAGCAAAGCAAGATCTTATGAAATCAAGTCCTATTGTATTTCTCACCAGCATGTCTTTCAAGACTGCAAGAGTGGTTCCTTTTGTTGATTTGAATGCATGTTGGTGCTGTCATAATACAAGTGGGTAATAGGGAAAGGAAAGTGGCAAACTGAACGGACATAATCGGAATGTGTAACTTGTGCACCTAGAGATTCTTCCTGTGGTCTTTATGTCCTAAAGATACCAGGGGAGCAGCAACGCTAGGCACAAATCAAGCAAAAGCAAGAGCAGGTTTACTTTCCCCCTTGTCTCTCCTTGAGCAGCACTACCTGACGTGTTTCAGTGGCACAATCGCTGTGCCCTTCCTGCTGGCTGATGCCATGTGCGTGGGGGATGACCAATGGGCCACCAGCCAACTCATCGGGACCATTTTCTTCTGCGTGGGAATCACTACATTGCTGCAGACAACATTTGGATGCAGGTGAGATGGAGTTCTGTGGGACATTGACACCCCAGCAAAGCACCAAGAGCTGGACCCTTTATCCAGCGCTACTGGACAGATCAGCTGGTGTTACAGCTTATTCCAGTGGCCATTGGTCTCCAGCCCACCTTTACAAGGTGTACCGGACCCCATGTTTCTTCTCTTCACGAAGGGAACTACCCCATTGTGCAAGCTGGAAACAAAGCCTTTTTATTGCCCTTACTGGCTGGCAAGGCACTGCCAGTCTTTAGCATGCCTTCCAGTTCTCTCCTGTAATTCAGACCCAGTCTCTTTGACTAAGTTCCCATTTGGTCTCTTGCACCGTGACTCTGCACTCCCCAGCCCACACCATCTTTCCACTACTCCCCTCCTCGGGCTGCCCAGGCTGCAGTCTTCCTGGTGTACAGCTGTCCCTTGTTCTCTGCCTTTCCCAGTTTTCCAGGTCAGCCTCTGAGCCTCACCCTCCTGCATGTCCCAGTGGCCCACCCGTGCAGCACACCTGCATATCCTCCATCCCACTCATCCCCCACTTCCAAGATTCTTGAAATCCTGTTCTCCCTGAATTTCTCCAAACGAGTCTTACGTTCTTCGGATTCATTCTTCTAATGTGGCTTGCTTTTCTTCTGTCTTTGCCCCACTTTCTTACGCTGCCCTTTATGGTGCCAGCACTTTGCCTTGTTTATCTCTTTATTAGTACCTGGGTATGGAGCTGAGCCAGGAAATACAGGAAGCAAATGCTCCTAGCTGGTCTTTCCCTCTCCTTTCCATATTCAACCCTATTCACAGCATAGCCTCCTACTTGCCAAGGCCCTGCTGATTGTCCTCAGAGTAAAGTCTGTGGTTTGGTCTCTTTATCTATTGGGAGACAGTGCAAATATAGCTTCCTTTTCCCTGCTAGGAAGTGGCAGCAAGAGGGACAGTGAATAAGCAGGCAGCCGGGACCTGTATTCTAATGTGCTAGAATCAATCCTCAGAACTCGCAAGGGCTACCCTGCCCGGGTGATAGTTAGCAACTGGAGTGTCTTGTTGTGGTATAGATGGAGTGGGAAGGCAAATGGCTGTTCCCTTGCAGGTCTGCTAGTGAGAGAGACTGTTTGCACATGGCCATGGGGCTGGCAAGGTGTGGGTTCTTCGATTCCGCTAGACAATCTGCAGCCACTACACTGAACAGAAGGGTCAGAGGTATTCTCTCTAGGGGCCCAAAAGAGAGGCGCAGGGAGTCATTGATGAAGTGATGAACCCAGGCCTTTCACAAAGCATTCAAGCCAGGCGGTTAACCTTGGCAACAGTGACACTGGTGTTTTGTGTCGCTGTTTAAGGCTCTGGTCACAGGTTTGGTGGAGCAGCTTTTGTTGACTTTACCTTGTACACAGGGCACGGCACTCTGGGGAAATACTTTTCCTAAACAACTGGCTTAACCTATAGTGGTTGGAGTTGGCTGACATTGAGAAGTAATGGAAGCTCTTTCTTGTGCCTGTATCTGCCTGTATAAGCTGCATTCCCACGTCATGTCTAAGGCCAGGCCAGGTGACTGCTGAACCTGGTGGGCAGCCTTGCATAAGACGACTCAGCAAGTGGACCTCAAGGCAAGTGCTTTTGGTCTCAAGGACACCCTTTGTGTCCATTGTTCAGGCACTAGCCCATGGGAACAATGTTGGTCAGTGCAGTTCACCCCTCTTTTCCCCTGAAAGGGCAGTCAGCCAAGAAAAACTAGAGAGGATGCTGCCACCTGCCCACTTAGGGACTGGAGATAGCAGCTGTGTGGGGGCATGGGGTGTTCAGTGTGCTCTGTGAGGTGTCCTTCTTCGCCATGTCTGTTTTATCAGGAGTCTGGTATTCCGTCTTAAGAACCAGGTACACTGTCCAGAAGAGTGGGTGTTATGTATCATGCTGGGCCCGGGCTGTGGGATTGTGTGGTTGAGGTCTGGGTGCTATCCATCTTGACCTTTGAAAAAAGAGGAAGAGTATCGACAGCCCTGTAAATATCTAGTGATGTATCTGTGTGGAAGGCACGAGTGACTCTAGCTGGCAAGCAGACAGGATCGTGCACATATGTTGATGTCCATACCCCAGAACGCTGTATAGGGCCATGAGACGGTGCTGATGTCTTGCCTATGACTTGAAGAGCTGGCCATGGTGGAGATATATCCCAGAGACTTGGAGTTTTGGCCCAGGAGGAAGAGGGAGTATCTTTCATCTTGGCAGAGATGGAAGCAAAAGCAGTAACTTAAGGACCCTGCCCAGGATTTCTCTCACCAGCACAAGCCAGGACTTGACTGAGGACTAGGACTCTGCAGTGGTGGGACCAAAGAAAAGTGTGGGACCTTAGGATCTCAGGACCTTAGGCATTAGGTTACTGCCTTCTTTGGGCGGGTTAGAGGGAGCTGCTTCCTGGATGAGTTTTTGCCTTTATCTTAATCATCTATTGTGGTTTTCGCAGATTACTTTGGGCAATTGTAGACTGTAACTAAGATGGGCTTCCTTTTGGTTCTGCTAGATAGAAATAGGGACCATAACCAGGTGCTGAGAATTATCATCTCAATAGGCATTTAAAATTTTCCTGTTTGAAATAAGATCACATAAAACAGTTCACACAAAGGAGATGCAAAGGTGGACATTGGAGGAGGGAGACTGGTGTGGCTGTGTCGGGGCAGAGCCGTGCTGTTCCTAGCACCGTGTCTAGAGGATTGCCAGTGGTTTGTGTTTTGGTTTACTTGTCAGTTTTCAGGCTTCCCTAGCCAAAGAAGTTTTTATGTTAAGCTTTTGTGATTTCTTGACAGATTCTCAGAATAACCGCTGGTGGTTATCTGTGTTCATAAGGTATGTATGTATGTATGTATGTATGTATGTTTTTCTGCCTTTTGTTGACACCCTGTGCTGCCATCACTGGGCAGCTAGTATATGGGCCCTGCCTCTGAGGGATGCGCCTTTTATTCTACAGAAGCTAGAGAGCAGGGAAAGGAGTGGTCCATGGTTAGGTCTGACTCCCTTTCTTACTGCTGCCTTGAAAACCTATCTTTACCTTGTTCTATAAAAATAGAACTCAGGAAAGGTGGTGCACGTTTTCAATCCCAGCTCTTGGGAGGCAGAGGCAGGTGGATCACTTTGAGTTTGAGGCTGGTCTGGTCTATATATAGAATTCTAGGGCAGCCAGTACTACATAGTGAGGCCCTGTCTCCAAAGAAGAAAGAAAGCCAGAATTGGTCTTTGAGAAACAAAGATGATGAAACAGATGTGTCTGTGTCTCTTCTCAGACCTAAAGCTAAGCCCAGGGTACCAGCCTCCTTCGGGTGCATACTGTCCCAGAGCCGGTGCATCCTCCAGGGCTGGAGAAGGTGTGGGACAGTGCTGCTACAGGTCCTCGCTCCCTGCTTTGCTGCCTAAGAATGTCTTCCTTGTCTTTGGGGACCATCGTCTTTCCCACTGGGGGTTGTGAGTCTCAGCCTCACCTGGGGGACGTCAGTGGCTGTTTTGTTCCTGAGAGCGTGTCCTTTGGGTGAGGTGATTTCCAGGATGCCTCTTCCCTTTCCCTCTCCTTCCATGTACTGACTTTTCCCTTGCACTTCCACTGTCTCTGTTACCCGGCTCCTGGAATGGAGACCGAACAGTTCTCACTCTGGTTGTTTGTTTTGTCAGTTTTAGTTGCACCCTGAGCTTGTTCCAAGAGCTGGTATCAAACCTTTTAAAATCTCCCTGCCGTGGAGATAGGGTTATTCAGGGTCTCTAACCCATAGCCAGCCTGCAGCCGTCGTGTCTGGAGGCCCCCCCCCCCCCCCCCCCCCCCGTCTGCACGGACACTTCGAGTTAGTGTGAGGGAGGTTCTCTGAAGCCCCGTGCCTTCCTGCCTCAAGGATTTTCTCACAGATGTGGCAGAGGAACTGTCATGCCCACTCCAGGAAGTGCACTCCCTCTGTCATCGCCAGTAGTAAAGGAGGGCAGGTGAGGCTGCCAAAGGGACTCCTCATGGTCAGGCACAAGCCTGCGTAGGAAGGAACATAGCAGATTCCTTCGCTGAGAGCCCCTGAATCTAGTTGAAGTATCCGGTTTGTAATTAGCCACCATCTGCAGGAGAAAGTCTCCTGCCTTTTGTTTTATTAGCTTCTTGTGGCCAGGGTGTGTGTGTGTTTAGGGAGAGGGGCCTTGCTTAAGTGGTGCTCTCACCGACGGCAGTGCACGCTTAAGTCTTACATCTGGGGACCTTGAACCCATATGGTTGGGGTGAGTAGTGGTTAGTCTAGGGAGGTTGAAAGTTCTCCCATGTTTCTTCTTCCCTGAGGGTTTCTTGTGCTTGTTTTAGTTTTTGTGAACCAGTTGAAAATAAAATTGCAGATAGCATGACAACCTACCCTAAGCTGCCATGGGGATGGTGGTCTCTGAGTAACTCTAACACCGTTTATCAACTTGACAAAAATAATTATTCTGTCATATGATCTAATATTCATTCCACACTTAACTTTCCCGGTTGTCCCTAAGATGTGTGTTATAACTCTGGGGCGGGGTCTAATTGAGTTCATACGGTGCTCTGGCTGGCTATGTCTCTGATCCCTTACCTCCCCATTCCGTCTTTTTAGATAGAGTCAAGCCAGGTGTCTCCTCGACTACTCATGATCCCAGTTCGTCTGTTTGTGTCCTCATGGTACTGTTTAATCTGCTGTACAATCTCTTGTTGTGAACTGGAAGATGGAGCCAGAAGCATGGATGAGTCAGGGTGAATGTTTCACCAAAATTACTGTGCCAGTGATCCTAGGCCCTTTGTATTCTGCCATGCTAAGCAGCACATAATAGCTGGTTGTAGAGTTTTCCCAAAAATAAAGTTTACTACCTACTTCACTAAGGAAGCATTTTAAATGCTACAGTGAATGAGAAGTCAGAGCAAACCTGGAGGGAAATGACCTTGGAAAGATACCATTTCTAGTTGACCTCATTGGAGCTATAGCCTAGTCTGAGATTTCAGACAGGCTCGCTAGCTTCTCAAAGACCATTCCCTCTGATGTAAAATA